TTTTTATAAAATATTGTCAAAGATAACAGTGGTAGGGTAGGCACCACAAAATATATATGAATAATATTTAAATTTATTTCTCCATACAAATAAAAAATTGAGGGTGCGCTCGCCCCTTACTAGATCCGACCATGTCAACCTAAGTACTGCCTTAAACTCCAATTATTAAACCGGGTTCAATTTTCGAGTTAGATTCAAGTTTTTAAATGTTGTCACCTTTAACTCTTTTATTAAGTTCACATAGGCCCAATGAAAGTCAAGCCCATTAAAACATAAGTCACATGGAGTTTGTCTTCTTCATATACAAGAAGAGAGAAACTCTTTTTGTTTCCAACCGATATGGGATTCTAACTTAGATATTCTTTTGTTCTTTATTCAACATCTCACATCGGTTCAACAAGAGAGCTTGCACTCCTTTTAGTGCTATAAAAACTTTCTGATGAGTGTAACCAAGGATCAAAATGTCGTGTCGACACATCCGAAACGTCCGAAACGTTTCGGAATTTCAACACTCCGAAACGAAACAGTAGTTGAATCACAAAATTCCAGTGTTTCGGTCGAAACGGTACTGTTTCGGACCGTTTTGGTCGAAACGGCATTGTTTCGGGCCGTTTCGATCGAAACAGTACCGTTTCGACAAAACAGTGATATATTCAGTTCATTATGAATAATTCATTATGAATAATTACATTTAATACCCCATTATAATTACATTTAATACCCACTGTAATTACATTTAATACTCACTATAATTATATTTAATATCCCACTATAATTACATTTAATTCCCACTGCTCTTCTATCTTTTATAATTTTTTTGTTATAAGAATAAATAATTAAACTTAATACCCTACTATAATTATATTTAATACCCATTATAATTATATTTAATACCTACTGTAATTATATTTAATACCTTACTGCTGTGCAAGTTTTTTGCTTTTTTTTTTTGTTATAAGTATTAACAATTACATTTAATACCCTAATATAATTATATTTAATACCCACTGCAATTACATTTAATACCCACTGTAATTACATTTAATTTTTAAGTATACATAAGTATCATTAATTTAATTTGATACCCTTCATTATTAGTATTATAATAAAATAGTATTATTAATTGGATAATATTACCGATGTATGAGCCTGCTCGACACTCCACAGGGGGATGGATGTAACCATGTAAGTATGTACTCATTAGCATTTCATGTGTATTATAAGACCTTAATATTATATAAAAATGTGTTTATTTCATAAAAATTAAGTGTTTGAAACTAATTTAAGTGACTTTTGCCTCATGTCAAGCCTTTTTTTCCCTCAAATTTAAATTTATTCTTGTATAAATTGATGTTAACCTAATAAATATATTGAATTAATCAATTATTTAGCATATCTTTATAAATTAATGGATTGTATTTGTGTTTCTATGCGTTTCCATATTTTTTCTGCGTTTCCATTGCGTTTCCGAAATGTTTCCGAAACGTTTCTATTTTTGAGTTGACCGAAACGGTACTTCGAAACGAAATTTTGATCCTTGAGTGTAACACACCTTATTTTATTGTGTGACACTTTATATAAATATTTTTTAGGTGGGATCATAATAACAAAAGGTAAAAAGCACCGATAATCCAAGAAATATTGAATGGCTTAAGATTAAATTAAAATCCAACTTAAAACCAATTAGCAATGAGTGGGGAGGCTCATTCACCATTTAAAACAATTTTTTTAGTTCTAATCATTCGAACTGGGATACAAAATCGCTTTACGGTCTCACCCACTTAAGGCTCAAACTTGAGCGTCAAGCTAACAAAAACACAAATAAGCATATCAAAATATTCATATGGGGAATAGAATAGGCCCACCAACCACCTACAGCTTAACCATGATTCCATGTTAGACCATTTAACTCAAATCAATTAGCAATGAATGGAGAAGCCCTCAACAATAAAAATCAACCTTAGGTTTTCATAATCATGCAAAGTGAGATACAAGTTCTCTTTATGGAGATGCAGTGATTCAAATACAAATCCCTATTTTATTCTTTGTTGAATCAATATTCTTGTTCTATTTTTTCCCCTCCTTTGATGATATGGAAGGATAAAGTTCATGTTAAAGTGCAAATTTTTGCATGGACAGTTACACATGAAAAGCTTAACACTTGTGATATGCTTCAAAAAAGAAAGCGCACAGTTGTTTTTTGCCTAAGGGGTGTGTAATGTGTAAAGGTGATTGTGAAAGTACAGATCACTTATTTTTGCATTGCCCTGTTGCTTTGGCTATGTGGTATAAATTGTTTCAAGTGGGTGCTTCATTTATCATCTATATCTTTTTTTTATTGAAGATATGAAAGGCTTTGGGAGGTTCGATAAAGGTGCGACTCTTTGGAATTGTGCTATTATTGTTATTTTTTGGGTTATTTAGAAGGAAATAAAAGCAAGAATCTTTGAAAATCAATATGAGTCTTTGTATGGTTATAAGACTGTATTCATCTCTTAGCCTCATTTTGGGCTTAAGTTTCTAAGACTTTTAAAGGAATCCCACTCTTTGCAATCTTTGCGGGATGGAGAGAAATTTGTGACGTATAGGCTTGTTATGTAACTATATTTCTCTCGTCTTCTTTTCTTATTGGTTGGATTTCTTATCCAATCTTTTTGACGTAACTTTTATTTCTTAATCATTAATAAAGCGTTTGGTTTCTTATAAAAAAAAAATAGGAGATACAGTGATTGGTGGGATACCAGGTCCATATCCAGGCCTGACATGCACATGAGATGTTGAGTATGATTCTATTATGGATATCTTCTCCTTGCAGGCTTTTCAACTCACCCTTGTTATTCCCCCTCACAGGATAGATTGGGCATCGAGACATAGAGAAATATCAACCTGGAAGATTTGAAGTTTATGGTTTGGTTATCTTTACAGATTTAGCCCCAAATTTGTATGAGCCGTAGACTAAGCCCTAAGAAGGGATAGAAATGAAAGATCTGTGAAGATATTTTACTTATCCAAATCCCATGGATAACTTATTAAGTGCTCTTATTTGTATGAAATTGGATCAGGATGTTACATGTATGTTCTAGACACCAAGCAACTATGTTAACACTGAGAATATTTCAATATTGAATATGTTAACACTGAGAATATTTCAACACTGAATAAATTAAACAATTAGACAATTATGAATAAGAAATCATGAGTAATCAAACAGTTAACAGCTCAAGAATCCAATTCCAATCAGACTTGCATTTAAATAGATTAATTAAAATCAAGGATAAAATCAAAAACAGGATACACAATTGAACTATAACACATTAACAAACTAAAAAGTGACACTATAAGAAATTAGAGAAAAATAAGAACGAGACAAAAATAGAAAATAAAAAAAATTAAGCAGTGACACTAGAACAGGTCAAAAAACACAAAAATCACGGGGGAAGAGGACAGATTCTATAACAGGTTGTCCATGAGGTATTATACATATCAGATATTCTCTTCAAAGTCAATAGATCAATGGCTCAAAATATATCAAAAAGGGAAAGAAAAGCCTACGGGGGCCATGCGTCTCAACCACTACTTGTTGAGAATGCCTCGCTTCAGACCTATTGATGTGCTTCAGGTGAAACTCATGCCTAAGCATGCTTCTCACAACATTGGTAAGTAGTTTGGACGTTCAAAAAAAATTAATAAACCTAACATTAATTTACAGCACACAGTTGCTGATAGACATTGTAAAAACCAATTTCGGTGGTGTCATAGAAGGGTCATAGTACTGATAACATTTTCAGTAATGCCAAGAAAATCATGTGAATATTAACATACAAGAAAAAAACCACATGAACAAATCTCAAATGAAAGACAAACACCAAAACTTATCCTTACAGGATCATTCTTGAAAAAGACCAAAGAGGTGCGGGTGAGGATAAACCACCGCTTCTTCCAAGACTTCCAACCTAATCCTGCAGAAGTTTAACATTGTTTACATGAGCACATCATAATACCACTGGTTTTAACAATAAGAGGTGGTTGAAGGATTATGGGATCGATCTTTTTCGGCTTCCGTCACTAAAGATTTTGTGTGAATTCTTCTCTTTTGCTTATGGAGAGTATAGAGCTCCATGTATTTGAAATAAGGCTCATATGTAGCTAAGACTTATGATGTAGCGTTTGTTGCATTTTGTTTTTATTTCTTCTTTCTTGGATCAGATGACTTGTCCATTGATTCTATTTATGTGTTGTCCCATTATCCATAAAATAGGTTGTTTCTTCGGAAAAAAATAGTAAATTACTCATCTTTGTAACCAGCAAACTTGTAAATATAACACCAAAGAATTCAATTTCATCCTTATTCTCAACAAAGTTAACCAGTAGGAGCAGGACATAATCCACTAACAACAAAGAAACAGAAATCCATTAAACTAGCCCTAACAACAACTTTGAAACTTACATTTACAACTCACTGTAGTGCAAAAGTGGAACAGATAATAAAATGCGACATAAAGAAATTCAAAAGAAACAAGAAAATCTAATCATGAGATAAAGAAATCCCTACAAGCGAAAAGAACGACCACAGTTGTGATAAGTCCTTGTCATGCCACTTCTGGGAGAAGCTGTTAACACAGCCTGTTATACTATGGCCCAAAACATCTCTGACCCCCTAGGACCTATGGAGAGGCAAAACGCCCAATGACAAGTATTTTAGGAGTTTAGGAGCAAGCTCTTCATTCTTAAGGACTGGGAGTAATTGTTAAATGATTTGATTAATATGAGATCTTGTACTTGTTTTCTCCACAACAGTGTGTTATATGCCGCAGGAAGGATGAGTGTTTTGATCACCTTTTTCTACATTCCCTGGTCACATTGGGTCTATATTACAGCTGACAAAGGTCAATCGAATGATTCCTAAGCAATATGTATCTTTAGTTGAGTAATTTTTTAGGCTTGGAAAAGGATAAAAAAGTTACCACTCTTTGGAAATGTGCTAGTTTGGCTAGAGAGAAATGCTAGAACATTCTGGGGTAGAAGCGAGCATGGAGATTGTTTGTGGGACGTCATTTTTGGACATCCTCGTGGGTTTCGACAATGTTGCTTTTTTTGCATATTGTTTGATTAGAGGTCAGTTCTCAGACAGCAGCACTATTGTTTTAGAGGTAGTTTTTCTTTATTTTGTTGTTTGATCCTCCAGTGTGTCCTTGATCTGTACTCTTTATTACCTCTTCAAGGGAATCACCCTCTCATTGGAGTTGGGGTACAACAAGAGACTTCAAAAGGGCATGGAGTCTGCAAATTTGCAAGCCTCGGACAATGCAAATATTGTACTTGAGCCTCGGCTCATTAAGAGTTTTCTTCCACCTCAACTTGCCATAGAACCTTCCATCCTAAAGAACCACCCTAAGGATAATTTCGTTGGAGATCATAATAGTTGGGTTTGAACTAGAAGACAATAAGTGAATGCAATGAGCCCTTTATTTATACTATGCGTAAAAATACTAACAAAGCTTTGGAAGATGAACAACAAATGTTTGCAATGCAAGAAGAACTAAATAAATTCTAGTAGGATGAGTTATGAACCCTCCAAGGCCTAAAGAAAAAAAATGTGATTAGCACCAAGTGTATCTAAAAACACAAGTTCGATGATGCTGGTTATCATCACAAGAAACAAAAGCAAGGCTCGTGGCTTAGGACTACTTACAAATACAGGAGTAGACTTCAATTAAACACCCATTCCAATTGCACGATGGTAACCCATTTGGGTGATATTAGATATGTCATGCATAAAGTACTTTAAGTTGTTTCAGATGGACGTTAAAAGTGTCTTGCTCAATGAAGTTCTTCAAGAGAAAGTATATAGAGAGCAACTAAATGGCAATTATGATGATCATGGGAGGCTGGATCATATATATTCACTTAAAAACCCTTGTGTGGTCTTAAACATGCATCCCGAGCTTTGTATGAAAGGCTCACAGATTTCCAATTGGACAAGGGACTCAAAAGAGGAACTCTTGATAAAACCTTGTTCATAAGAAAAAAAGAGAATTGGAACTTGATTCCTAACTTCATTCATATGATGATTTTTGGTTGTACCGGCGAGAAGGAAGCTCTTGAGGTTGCCAGGTCAATTACCCAGGCAACACAGAGAGCTTATGAGATGAACATGGTCGGGAAGTTGAAATTTTTTCTTGGTCTGCAAATTAAGCAAACCAGCAATGGTATATTCATCTCCTCGACTAAAATTGCTAACTAATTGGTCAAGCCTTTGGAATGGGTGTATCTAAATTGGTAAACAACCCAATGAACACAACTGGAAAACTAAGAATTAAATTTTATTTTGGCATATTGTTTTGGTCACCAAGAAACGGAAACAAATCAAAAATATTTTGGAGAAAACAGAATGAAAACGAATAAAAAATTTATTAATTTATTCTCAAAACATTAGTTGAAATATATCGAAACATCTTGAAATACATCAAAACATTCCTAAGCATTGGTGGAAACATATCAAAATAACTCAAAACAGTCTTAAACACCTCAAACCATTGGAATGTTAATTCAATCACTGATTCATTTCGGTCTCCTTGAAAATAGAAACTTTTCGTTCGTTTCGACCGTTTCAAAATAAAATTTTGATTCTTGTGAAAAACTATCAAAAGATGATGAGTGCAAAGTAGTTGATCAAAAATTATACCGAAGTATCACATGGAGTCTCTTGACTCTCTTGTACCTTTAGTGCCAACAAATCTAATGTAACCAAAAGTGAAGGAGTTCATTGTAGAAATTAGGTTAACTCTTAAAAGTCACGTCTAACAACAATAAAGCGAGTTATCAAGTACAATAATGATATTGATCATGGTCTCTAGTACACCCGAGACACTATGAGCATACTTGTGAGATACTAAAATGTTGATGAGACAAATAACCTAGACAACCATAAAAGCAATGGATGTGGTTACTTTTACTAGGTTTACTATCTCGTTGCTTGGTACAATAAACAAACAAAGATCCATGTCCTTATCAACAACTAATGCAGAATATATTGCAGCCAGAGCATGTAGTGCTCAACTATTGCTTATCAAATGTTGGAAAACTATTGCTTATCTTAAGAGTCCTACGACCACACTATTCTATTCATATTTTGAAAATTTATAACAAAAAGGGGATATAGGTATGCTTTTGCTCACTTGTTTTCGCAAGATATACTGTACCAGTTATACATTTATATGCACAAATGAAGACAGTATCAGGCAAGCAAGAGTAGCGTAAGACCACAGGGGAGTAATTTTAGATTCTTTATTTTGTACCTTGCTCATTTGACATGTATTTTATGGATTAAATTTGATTATTGAGTTACTGATATTCGAACTTTCCTTACTCCCAGTATCTCGACGTTAACTTCTGTTATATACATTTGTGTACCTTCAGCAGTCCACCACACACCCCCTCTACAACTATAGGTTTTGGTTATGACGATCCAAGGATGGACCTGAAGCCAATTATGTAGTTGGTGGGTATAGCAAAGAGATTCTCTCTCTGTATTTACACACAAGGTTTGGGTAAGCGCGTGGAAAACCATTGATTGTAAAGATTTTGGTACAGCCTATGAAAAACCAATTCTTTGTGTAAGTTGCAATGTTTGGGAGGTGAATATTATATAAGACCTCCAATAATAGTGGATTGAGTTGAAATACAGTTAAGGAAGTTGGGAGTAGCCCATGGATATTGTTGTAACCAAATCGCTATAAATCTTGTGTATGCTTAGCTTGCTAAATATTGTTGGAAATTAATCCACATGTTTCACAAGCCCTGAATTTGGTTTAAGTAAGCGTAAGTCAAAAAATTAGTTGAAGAGAACGAACCAAAACAGAAGTAGGGGCGCCTTTCTGTTTGAGACCTATTCAATCAAAACTAGAACCAGACACCCAACCTCTTACCTAGTCGACTGCGTCCATTACATAGTCGATGACCCCTAATCTGTACCTTGATGAGCACTCTATTGAAAAGACTAGCCTACAACTTTCATATGTGCCACTTTTAACACTAGCAATTAAATCAATGTAGAAACCAAAAAACCAATACATGGCACAAAAAGGACCAGAAAATTATAAAACTCATTTATCCCCACCCCTTTTTCTCTTTGCTTTAGTCATTAATGGGTTAACCAGATTAGTGTGAAGGGCGGCTGAGTGTTGTGACCTTGTGGGAGGTTTTATTGTGGGGAGGGGCAAGATATCAATTTCTCCTTCGCAATAAGCTAATGATAGTATATTCTTTTCTATAGCAGATAAGGAAAAACTTTTAAAACTTAAGAAAATATTAAAGGTGTTTAGCTTGGTTCCGGGATTGAAAGCGATATATGGATAAAAGTTTACAAGTGGGCATTAATTCACACTATGATAAAATTAATAGAGTTGTTGGTCTTTTGGGGTGTAAAGCGGGGGAGTGGCCTTTGAATTATTTAAGTTTGTCTTTGGATGGGAATCCAATGTCCCAATAATGGAAAACGTGAAGAGATTAGATGAGTGGGACAGAACTTATATTCCTAATGGGGGCCGGTTAACTATGTTGGCATCAATCCTAGCTAGAATTTACATATGCTTTTTATCTTTCTTCGAGATGTCAGGAAAGATAATTAAGAAATATAAAAAAAAATGACGCGGAATTTTTTGTGAGAAGGCAGTGGTGAGAGAGGAAAGACCACTTGATTAGTTGGGAGATGGTCTCTAAATCTAAAGATAAAGGTGGTCTCTCAATTCAAAAGTTGAAGGCAAGAAGTATTGCATTAGTGGGTAAGTCGCTTTGGAGGTTTCTATTAAAACCACATTCTCAATGCGTTTAGTTATCAAGAGCAAATACTTGCATGCCAACAGATGGGGCGTTAATAGGGTGGAAAGAGGAAGTTTCCGATGCCTATGGAAATTCATTTCTCAAGGATTGACAAGATTTTTCAAAAATTCAAAGTTTGTGGTTGGTAAGAGGGAGAAAGTTCGCTTTTGGGAATATGGATGGGTGTGAGAGTCACCTCTTTCAGGTCTGTTTCTACATCTCTATCGGGTATCTTGTTTTCATAAGTCTTTTATTCCTTCTATGATTCAGTCTTATGATCGTCTATACTCTTAGGATTTCACATTCCATAGGAAGTTAGATGATACAGACACAAAAGTATTTGGTTTCATGTCTTACTATTCCTAATAATTCTCTGTTGAACCAGGGGCCTTGTTATAAAAGAAAGGAGATTGTTTGAATTTTTGGATGCTTCTCTTGTAAAGCATTCTTTGAATCCTTGTTAGATTAAAAATCTTGTTCAGTCTTTATTCCTACTTTGATGATTTGAAAGGTTAAAGTGTCTATTGGATTGCAAATTTTTGTATGGCACATAGTAAGATTAGCACCAGTGACATGCTTCAGAAAACACGACTCCATACTTGTCTTTCCCCACGGTTACATGTGATGTGTCAAGGTGATGTTGACAGTACTGACCATCTATTTTTACATTACCCTATCGCTTTGACCTTGTGGTATCACTTGTTTATAGAGGCGCATTTTAAGTTGGATGATTCCTATGTCTTCCATATCCTTAGTCCTCACTTACTAAAATTTTGAAGGGCTTGGAAGGCTTGATAAAGGTACAACTCTTTGGAATTGCAAGATATCATTGCCACATTGAGTTGTTTGGAAGGAACAAAATGCAAGAATTTTTATACTCGATGTGAAAGTGTGGATCGATTATGGCACCGTATTCATTTCTTACCATTATTTTGGGCTTCAGTTTCAAAGGACTTCAAAAGAATTTCATTTTTTGTTATTCTAGAGGGATGAAAAGCTTCATCTAATTTATAGGCTTGTTATGCTTTTGCTATCTAGTTTTTACTTCACAGTTGGATTTCTTATCCAACCTTTTTTGATGTATTTAATTTTCATTAATACTAGTTCTTGTTTCCTATCAAAAAAACTATTGCAACAACAATTCAGATGCTCAGACTATATTAGGAGTGTATAAACCCCCAGAAGGCATTAGCAAGTTTGTTACTTATACGAGCCTGTTTGAAAAAAGAATATCGAAACAAGTTTGCAGCGGAAACTGCCCTACATAATAAAACTGGCAAATATCAAGATCAAACAAAAGCACATGCATTCGTCCACAAGGTTTGGTTGCTCAATGCCCCAAAAAGGATCTAAAGACAATGACATTCAGTAGAAGCTCCCTGATATACAAAAATTAAAAATGATTGGCAATTACTGACTTTCCCAGATTATGGAGAAGGGGCAGGAGTAGCTACAACATCAAGGAGCGACTACACATCAAATTTATACTCATGATTTGAATCATCGCCATTGCATGTGTATTTATTTGGATACAAATGTGTGTACACGTCTTCTGATCATAAGATAAAATGTGTTTTTAATTTCAACTAATGAGACGCAATGTTTCTATGTA